CATGTTTCAGGGGTGCGTGGGCACACCAGCACCTGTGGGTGATGGATCTGGGCACCATTTGAAACGTTTTCTGCTGGGTTCTGCCACGTCCCCTCGCATCAGGAGGTACTGAGATGACGGAGATGTAAAAGCTCCACTTTCAAATTAGCTGCTGATAGAAGTGACCCTGTTCCTTACCCGGTAGCAGGACACCTCCACGCACAAGCAGGCAGGCGAGAACAGGCGCTGCCTCACACGAACAGGCAGAGAAACACGCCGGTGCCAGATGAACATAAACACAGAGGGAGCTGTGTGTACCACTAATTACATTGTACCACGGCAAACGCTCAAAATGTGAAACCTGTGTGACTAACACATCCCCACAGCCAGACGCATGCATCAAAGATAACACACCACTGGCGCTTGCCATTTATAGCAACAAACAAACACGGGCTCACAACCCTGTACAACAGGCCACCCCGGGAGGCACAGGCGCACACGCAGCTACCCAATGGGGTCACCCACACGAGTTCATAAATATGCCACACAGCCAGAGACATCCTTAAAGAAGTCTGGGTTTGTGTGAAGCCGGCTGCAAGAGCCGTGCCCCAAGATGCTTGTCAACTTTCAGATGGACGTTTGGAGATGATACCTAAATACGTGTGCCGCAGGTGCTGCTCCCATGGACATGGCCATCTTGCCCTCCCCTGCAATGCCAGCTGGAGGTTGTCGTTTTTGTCCCTCTTCTGCAAGGGTGTTGCAGGGGTGTTAGCAGGACAGAGCAGCTGCCGGGCTTCTTGCTGCTTCTCAGTAACAAGTGAAGGATCGTGATGGGTGGTCCATAAAGGACTTGTGTCCCCTCAAGGATAGGAGATGCTGTATATACCTATGGCTGCTCTTAAAGGAAATATACTCTGCACTTTCATCTCAGCTGCAGGCCCTGGTGTTGTCCGGGCAAGCAGCATGCAGGGAGGAAGGGACAGCCCCAGGGCAGCGTGGGCTGGCAAGGGATATGAGGTTCAGGACGGTGGTGGGGAAGGTGAACTCTTCGGATGCTCCTGCAGGAGGGGAGACATCACGCTGGGATCTGGGTGGATTGCCTCCAGCACTGGGATGGTGCTCTGGGGACCTCTCTCTGGTATTTCCCTCCGTTGTCTAGCTGTAAAAGGCTCTTTTACTGGCAAGATGCGGTAGTCTCTCCTATCCTGTCTGCACCCTAGAGGCTTTCAGAAAAAGTCTGCATGAGCATTGCAAAGGTCCCATCAGACCTCCCTCACCTGCAGTCCCTGAAGGCCCCTCTCTGGGGGAGGAAGGGGTGATGAGGAGTCAGGAGAATGCTTCAGATGAGGAGTGATGCCGATGGGACACCTTGGTCTGGCTCACTCGTGGCACTTTGCTCAGCTGTGGCATGCCTGGCAGGTCATGGCATTAACAGACCTGGGATGCCAGTCACAGTCCTGGGGGGGAACGTGTCATAGAATAGAATAGAATCGTAGAATAGAATGGTTTGGGTTGGAAGGGACCTCAAAGATCATCGAGTTCCAACCCCCCTGCCATGGGCAGGGACACCTCCCACCAGACCAGGTTGCTCAAAGCCCCATCCAGCCTGGCCTTGAACACCTCCAGGGGTGGGGCATCCACAACTTCCCTGGGCAACCTGTTCCAGTGCCTCACCACCCTCACAGTAAAAAATTTCTTCCTGAGATCTAATCTGAATCTTTTTTCTTCCAATTTAAAACCGTTTCCCCTTGTCCTATCATTACACCTCCTGGCAAAGAGTCCCTCCCCAGCTCTTCTATAGGCACCCTTCAGGTATTGAAAGGCCGCTATAAGGTCTCCCCAGTGTCTCAGCAGAGCCCCCTCTGAGCGGGTCAGGAGGTGACACTGGCCTTTGGGGACAGATGGCCCTGATCTGAAGCGCTTCCCCTGAATCGTGACATCTCCTCTTTTTTCTCCCAAACAATCTCCCCTGCTTATTGTGTCCACCGCTTCCCTTGCTATTTCAGAGCATCCTGCCCTCTCCTTCCCCAGCGGAGTCACGAGACCTGCCGTCCGGCAGGACCAGGTGCTTTCACCGAAGCAGGGAAGGGCTGAGCCAGAGGCCAGCAGCTTGTCCCCTGCCTGCCAAGTCACCGAGCTCCCTGCCAGCACACGTGTCCGGGGCAGGTGTGCGTGCCAGATGCAGGACCAGCAGGGGCTTGGCTTGGGATGGCAGTGGCTTTAAATGGCTCTTGGGAGGGATGGTGGGGAAAAGAGGCTTGAGAGCTGGCTCCGAGGAAGGCTTTGGTGCAGGCTGCACAGGGAGAGGAGGCAGGAGGAGCTGCCAGACCAGAGATATCTTCCCTTGCCCTGGGAGGGAAGTGCGGCAGGTGGAGCATCGCTCTTCCAACAGCATGCAACTTTTGCAGGGGAATGTTTTCATGCGTTTGGGGGGCATTTGGCCAGAAAATTCAGGGGTGGGGAGGATTTTATGTTTGTTGATGGGTCTGACCTGCCACCACCAGCTGGGGATAGGCTTGCCTAAGCAAAAGTTTAAGTGGGAAGAACGTGCATCTGGCCGCCCTGTGGCCATCTAATCATCCTCTTGTGTTGCCCTGGTCACAGTAAGCAGCACTTGCACAAAAGGGAGGGAGATTAGAGGCATCCTGGAGGAAAGCTCTGAGGCCTTATAATCCTGTCCGGCCTTATTGGTATTTTAGCTGGGCATGAGCCCTCTCTGTTGATGTACATTTTTCCATATATCCATATGTGAGCATGTGCCAAACTCGTTCCACTTCATCATCTTGGTTTAAACCGGACCTCTCCTGGGTTGAAATATTGTAGCAGCCTCACTCCAGCCTTGTTACACCAACCAATGCTACAGCATTGGAAGGTCAATAATTGCCATTCCAGAGAAAATATCAGCATTGTCTAAGTTGCATTCTGACCAAAATAGCAGAAATATCTGATTCCAACCTCCCCGTCTGAGCTGGTAGTGGTGAGGGTCCTGGATATGTCTCCAGCAGGAAAACTGCTCCCTTCCCCTTTGAAGTTGAGACAGGAGGACTGGCTCTGCATAAAGAGCTCAGAAATGTCCCACTGCTTGGGTTTTCCCTCTCCCTCTTTTGATGCAACACACTAATCCTGCTTAATGTAGGAAATACACCATGATCACAGCCTTGGGGCTGGTTTGGGTGTCGGAATGAGATTTTATTTCAAGAAGGAAGGGAGCAGTAATTACAGCTTCAGTGGGGCAGCTGTCATTCAAGGTCTGTGCTTAGCTTCAGGACTCCCAAAGGGATTCACCTGGCTCTTTGTATGGTCTCTAATGAGTCGCTGTGGGCTGCACAAATTGGAGCTATAAACTGCCCGTGATGCAGCCACTACCCGACTTGTGCACGTGTGTTTCACACGGGCAGAGCGGCATCCCAAAGTCCCGGGTGCATCTGGCAGTGGTGAGATGGAGAAGAGGTCCTGAACATTTACTTGGAGGGAAAGCAGGGAAATGTTGATGAATTTGTTTCTCCCATTCCTTTGCTCTGTTATATTGTTAATTATGAAGCTTTCTATGTTGCAGTTTGGAATTGTCATGCCCTCGTCAGCGTGGATGCTCTGAGCACCGTAATAAGTCATTCCTCCTGCTAACCTTTCTCCTCTGTGTTGTTAATGGGAAGGAAGCTGGGCTCAGCCACCGCATGTCAATAGCCTGCAAGGGAGTCAGCTCAGAGCAGGCAATGGGGGGCTGGTGGGAAAAGGGAATGGAAAAGGTGGTACAAGGAGTTGCACGGGTGCTCAGAGTTAAAAACCTGGTGAAAGTGAAAACTGAGGTGCTGGATGGTGGGAAGGATGTGCTGCCACTTTTGTTACAGGGGTTAAAAATTATGAACAGCATCCCAGAGCCAGTCAGGAGACACAATACCTGTTTCTTTCCAATAGCTGCAGGCCTTTGGGGTAATGAATTCGAAGAGTCTCTGTGCTATCCCCTAAGGGACACTATGTCTGCTTTCTAAACCTCTGCACTTGCTGCTCTTTGTTCTGACAAATACCAAGCCTCGAAGAACAAGCAAAGCTTTGGATCAAAGTGCCTACTGGAAGCAGGGGGCTGAGAGAACAGGGTGGATAGGCAGAGCTTGCAGGGTTTTCAGTGGGGATAATGGGTGATGGCAGCCCAAGGCAGAAAGGTTGGCCGGACCTGGCAGATGAGTGCTGCAGAGCGCACTGGAGGTGATGGATCCAGAAGTGTGGACATCAAAGGGGTCCTGAGCTGAAACATCAAGGGTGCAGGATGCCCAGAGCAGCATCAGCAGGGATGTGCATGGGCTGTGTGATCCTAAAGTGAAGGGGACTGAGCTGAGTGTTGGGGAGGATAACCTACGGCCAGGGTGTGAGGGGACGAGGTCTGCACTGTGGATGCTGGTGGCAGACACATCCTTTCCTGATGCTGATCAGCCCTTTCTGTACTGTGTGTCTGAAGGCTCTTATGTTGCTTTTAAACTACTGATAGCATGGGCACTCCAGACATTTGAGCATGCCAACAAGGTGAAGGGAGGAAAGTGCCCATCAGGCTACCATCGGGCAGTCCTTTGGGCAAGCTCTCTTTTCTAAGAGCATCACTGTGCTACTTAATGGACAACATTTGGCTTTGCATTTTCCCAGAAAAAGGCCACCATTATATGCACCCAGCCAGCAAAGTGATGTTCTTTAGCAAAAACATGGTGCTCTACAGTACTTGGGTGCCACCGAGCACGAGACCTGTTCTGCTCTTCCTACACCCACCCATGCTCTCTGGCCATTCTGCTTAGAAGCTGTCCTGCTCACACTGCTGGCATAGAGAAACAGCCATGCTGCACCGCTGGGGCTAAATCAAAGAGTTTTGCTTAAAATTGCTGCAGCACAAAGTGCGACCACAGTTTATCATTATTAGAAGCGTCAGTCCTGTGGCTCTCCCCTGCTCCAAGCTCACTGGGAGAGCATGGGAGTGCTGTGCTCTTGCTGCTGATTCCTCATCTGGGTTTCATTTCTCTTTCTCCCCTCCTCTCCAGGAGTTCTCGCTTGCGGCTGGCATGGCAGAGTACATCCCCCAGCCTCCCTCCACCTGGCCCGCGGGCCCGCAGCCCCCTCACACCTCCACCGTCTGCCCGCTGGAGCCCATGGATCTGGGGGTCTCGGAGCAGCAAATGCCACCAGAACAGCCACCGTCCTCCCCAGAGCTGGGTGAGGATGAGGAAGTCACGTCCCCACCGGACCCTGATGTCCCCTACCCCGACTTGGCTCCTGTTGTCTTCTTCTGCTTGAAGCAGACCACCAGCCCGCGGAACTGGTGCATCAAAATGGTCTGCAACCCATATCCTTTCCGAGCTGCCCCCTTCGCCCTCCCCGGCTCTTGCTCCCTCCTGCCCCATTCCTCCCCTCTCCCTGCCCTTCCGGGGCACCTGGCAGGTAAGGAATGAAGTTTCCTACATATTTAATGAACTGCTTTGTTCCTCGCTTGTGTTTTAAACAGAGCTTTGGCTGTTTTAGTGTGTGATCAAAAGAAGCTGATTATGAAAAAGGGGACTTCAGAGAGAGCTGCTGACAGAGGGGTGGGTGAGGGGGGGCATTTCAGAAAGGCCCGTTCTTCCCCTTCCTGGCTCCTTTTTCACCTCTGCCTTGGGACAGAGCAGGGTTGCTGGCCCCGGAGCTTGTCAGCAGTCTGCCACGAATGGCAGAGGTGTCTCTTCCCTCTGAGCATACAGGCTTTAACGAGAGCTCATCATGCCCTTGGTGAGGGAACCACCACTCCTGGACCTTGACTGCAAGGGACACCTAGGTGACCCCTTGCCTTTCCAGCAGGCACATGTCACTGTCCTGCCGATGTCTTGCTGGGATGCCCAGGCAGGAAGGAATGGGAAAATCTGTTCAGAGTTTGATGCTGAGCTTCACACCCTGGGGGAGACCTCCGGGATGTGAGCACGCCCTTCCTTTGCATGGGAAGTCAGTGATCACACGTGTGTGTCACGGTTCACGCCCAGTGCCTTGATTGCAAGGAGGCCCCTGGAACCCACAAGTGCAAATGGCAAACACCTGCACAACTCGTTAGCACTGGGGCTGCTAAGAAGCAACAGCCTCTGTGGCTCTTGAGCCTGATGCAATATAAAGAACAGGTGGAAAGCACTTGCTCCTTTTTGGACTATGGGATCCTTCAGAGGGTGAAGAAGTGGAGGAGATGATGAATTATCAGAGAGGTTGGTCTGAAGTTTTACTTGAACCTTTTTCTGTCCAGAAATCTCAAGTGCTGACACTTTCTCCCTGGAAGTTTCTTAGTTCCTAGTTTGGTGGGTATTATCTGTAAGGATGCTTGTTATGGTTTTGATGCATTGGCTTCTAGATTAAATCTGAGTGTCTGGGCACACAGTAGAGACTTGCAAGATGTTTCTAAGAGCCTTTTCATCTTCAAAAAGCAAACCCTGGGTGAAGTCTTGAGGTGCTGTCAGCAATAACACATGACCTCAGATGGCTGATGGATCTGCAGATTTGTTTCAATTTCAAATGTAGGATAAGGTTTGGATTTCAGCTCTGAACTCTTGTCTTAAAGTTCAGAAGCTCATAAAAAGGTGCTGCAGTCTCAAGCACAGGTTATGACTGAGAACTTGTTGGAGGTTTAGGTTTTCTGCTTTCCTTTCTACTGGCTGCTCCTTAAAATTTAAAAACTTCATATTGAATTATGCATGGCTTTTCAGTCACTGTGTGTCTGCACTAGTCATTATGTCCTGGGAATCTTGTCCCAGCATGTGGTGGCCTCAGAGTAAAGCATGAAAGATTTGTGTCTCAATGCAAAGGCTGGATTCAGAAAATGAGAGAAGGGAAATAACCTGCGTTTGGGATGAAGATTTTCTCTTGAAAGGGGGAAGGAGGTTGTGGGGGAAGAAGAGAAGTGCATGTTCTTATTTCTGGCTAAAAAGTCAGTCAAAACAGTCCTTCCAGTTTGGTACCTAGCAAGGAGCTTGTCTTAAGGTGTTGGCACTATATGCCCATCTTAGTGTTTTATTGTTACTTTTCCTTTAACCTGTAGACATGCATGGTATTTGACTCTGAAAGGGACTCTTTCATAGCAGAAGCTATAGAAGGAAGGAAAAAGCTTCATGGAATCACTTGATGACATTACACCAGGCTACATGGGATGGGGGTGAAGGGCAAAGGTGGGGCTGCTGGAAAACTTTTGAAAGGGTTGCTTCAGACCTGTGATTTCAGCTCAGCTGTGTGACGTTAAGAGATTATTTGAAAAGCAGAAACTGAGTGGAGAACGGTCATCTCCTCCTTTGATTTCTCCCCTCCCACACCTGTAGTCCTCATTTTGAATGGATCATGCAGTAAGTAGTTCCCATACTTTTTTTACAAGTGAGGGATAGTTTCTGTGCACCCTGAAGGTTTTTTGCAGGCAATCATACGCTCTTGGCATCACACTTTTTTTTTTTGATAGCACCATAGAAATGGTACAATTCCATGGCCTGGTGGCAGATCACTCACTGTGGTCTCATCCCTGGCTGGGAATGAGCCTGTTTGTCAGGGATGCTTCTATGAAAGTCAGAACAAGTTTTCTAAGAATTTATATGCTTGTCTGATTTTTCCCTGTCTAAAGTTTTTCATCCCTGTTATATTGGGCTATTGGGTCTCCAGTGCCCTTGTGTCAAGCAGGGGTGGGGTGAGTTGCTGTTACAGCACAACACCTGGCCTTTCCTGAAGATTTGGCAAAAACAATGGGGCACTAATTAAAAGCCTGTTAATCTTCTCATTGACTTTCTACTAGGCCAGAGTTTCATGATCATTGTTATACGAGTACTGTCAACGAGACTTAAAATGGAAGCTCTGATCATTAAGGACTATGTAGCAATTTTTGTAAGCACAAGGTCATTAACCACCAAATTTCAATTTAAGTAATTGCATTCTACCTACTTAAATCCCCCTCCCCTGAAGATTATTTTTCCTTCCATGAGCAGTCCATGAGCAATTTGGTTATGTGCTATTAAACAGCTGCCATATTCCTTTGCTGCAGTGCAGTAAGAAGAGAAAGAATCACTTATCTCCCTGCTTTAAAATCACTCCTGGATACATATGATTGTATAAATGTGTAATGCTGTTATAGCAAAAATTGTAGACCCTAACTCCCCCTTAAGATAGGGACTGTGTTCCATGTGAGACTGTGGTGTTTGTCCCCGAAGGGACTATTTACTGTGTTTTTTGCCATTGTGCTGTATGGTGAAAAGGAGCCTGATGCTTTTAAGTTAGGTGATTGTGTTTCTGGGGTGGCTTTACATACAGTGCGAATGAATGCTTGAATTGCCCTAGTTTATTGGTGAGCAGATGATTGTTATTTTTTTTTTAAATCCTGATTAACCGTGTTAGATACAGGTAACTGCTGTGTGATCAGGTGGGTGTGCAATGCAGCGCACACCTGGGAAGTGTGCCTGTCGGTACGGAGTCCGGCGTGATGCACCACGTGAGCAGCCCACCAAACAGCTTGCTTAGGTTAATTTCTGTTTTGATGAACAGGCGGAAGGCTGGCTGCTCGGAGTTGCAGACCACGGGGCTGTTGCAGCTACGATGTTAACACAGTCAATATTTGAGATATGCCTATGAGAGAGGCTGTAAGATTTATTTTTTTCCTTTTATAAAACCTGAACTCCATACCAAAAAGGGTTTCAATTTGAGCTCAGAGGGGAAATAGGGTGAAAAGTGTGAAAACATGTTTCCAAAACAACTGTGTAGCATTCATCTTATGAATTTATAAAGTGTTTGGGACTAAATAAAGGGCATGCCACATGGTGCCTTTCAAATGGATCTTGATGCACTTTGCAAATTATGAGAAGATTATGAGAGAGATGCCTGGATGTTTGCATCTCTGTTTGACTCCTTGGGGTTCCATAAAGACTTTACACTTCATCCATCCCTAGGGTCAAGCGCCATAGATTTGGTTTGTCCTTTGAGCCTTTCTTTAAAAGAGAGACTCTTTCCAGGAGGCTCAGACCTCCCTTTGCTGTTGAATCCATAATATTGACATGACAGCGAGAGCAAGAGTGAGGGGTGCCATTAAAAAAAATCAATGCTAAAACTGTGGCAGTAACGAGATAGGCTCTGCAGTTCACCACTCTGTCATTTTCTTGCTTTTTGTTATATACCGGCCCCTTCCCTCATTTGTGAAGTGTGTTGCCCATTTGGACTTCTGCTTTGCTCTTGGGCAGTAAAGTGTTGCATTTCCAGTTGATTTCAATGGTGTAGGAGCAGTAGGTCAGGTCCCAGTTGTGCAAAAGCTTCGTACGCACTTAATTTTTAGTACCAGGAGCTGTGTTTTATAGGATATAGGGCAGGGTGGCTTCTCAAAGCTAGTATGACTGCTTGTGTGTACTGACGAGCTACCTTGGAGGATCTTTGAAGCTTATGATCTACAAGTAGAGGCTTTGTCATCGTACTGGTCCCTGAAAGTCCTACCAGGTTTCTGGGGATACTTTCTTTGTAACTTGTACTAGCAGCTCTGTTGGCTTGTCCTGTGTGCCTGGTGCACAAGGAAACAGGACTGGCCTTTGGCGTATTGATGGGGAACTGGGAAAACCTACAGATTTATTCCCTACCTCCTCCCTGCCTGGTGCCTCATATCATTTATGTATAAGCCAACTGAGTATAGGATGGTTGTCGATGGCAATAGTGGTGTTTCCTGCAGGCACTGTCCTATGGGAGCAGAGTGGAGAGTCAAATGCTGGAGGAGCAAAGAAAATCATGTGTGTGTGGATCGGTTATTGGTAACTTCTCTTGGCAACATTGAGCAGGCGATGCCATCGTATGTGGGGATTCTGCTGCCAAAACCACAGCTTTTCAGGTGACACATATGGTCAAGGGGCCAACAAATCTTTTGCTCATTAATAAGCTTTGGGTGAGTAGGTGTGTTATATGTTACACCCTGGTCAAATACCAGTTTGGGCAATTTGTTTTTGTGTGAGTGAAATTTTACGTGCAGATTCTGTGGTATGCTGTACTTGTATCTGCATTAAGCTGTTGCCTTGTGTACTGTTAAACCCTGGGTTTAGTCTTCATAAGAACTGAATGTAGTTAATTAATAAGCAAACACCAGCTGCAAATTTCTTGAGTCTTTTAATAGTTGATGTCTGTCTTAAGGCCTGAGCTCCTGTAATCCTCTGATTAGGTTTCTTTTTCTTTTTACATGTGTACATTTACTTATATGTGTGTATGTATATACATAAATTAAAAAAAAAGTTCTTGCCTCTCTACTAGGTAGAGAAAAGCTTGGAAATGTGACCAGAAGGTATAATAATACATCAAAAATTGAGTGGCTTATGAATTTTAAGTAGCATT